CAGTATATTATATTCATCCATTCCACAAGTTCTTGCACATAATAATATTACACCTCATATAATACATCATTTATACATTATTTCATCAGTTTATACTTTAAATAAAAACTTAAGTCAATAACTAAGAAAATTAGCGAGAATGATTGTTTTGTTAAACAATTTTAAATCGTTATATATCCTAAACTATTATTTAAAACGAAAAATGATAAAAGGAACCTAAAGATGATTTTAAAATACCTATTCAACGACACCCCACTTGACAGTGTTCATCGATTTTTTTTTTCATTTCAACAATATGGCGTCTGGCTGTCGCTGTGGTGATTTTTGATTACTGTCATGTCTTTAGTGACACTCGCAAGGTTGAGACGAATCGATTGACGTAAGAATCAACAAAATCGGCCTACGCATTTGTTCTCTAGAACGCCACATAGAAACAATCATACATACATACATAGACTGATAATAAACTCATTACTCTCCTTTGCGTCGCTCAGTTGGGTAAAAAGGAAGCATAAAGGAGCTTGAGATAATACATTTTTGATCACCCATTGCCCTTGCGAAAATTGTTTAACTTCCGCATCGCAGTCTAAACACGCTAACCAATGCTCCATAGAGTTACGCATCGTTTAAAAATCGATGAAAACGCTCCGTCATCGGTTAAAGTTCCCACTATCAGTCATTATCAATAATATACACAGTAAAAAAAAATATAATACACTTTAATATACGATAGTTACGACTAATATTGGTGCTGTGTTTGCGAATTATTGATATTGGTTATATATCTAAAATATTTAATATTTGCTATTATTTTATTAAAATTATTAATTTGTTTTCACGCAGTTTTCAATCTTATTTGATGATTTTAATTATATACTTGTAATGCTTGTAAGTTAATTGATTGGAAAATGAATTAATAATTACATGTAATTGCCTTGTAAATTACATGTAATTGTATGCGGTGCTATGTGTGCTCCTTCTTATTTTATGTAGTATGTTTATTTGCTTAAGATGTCCGCTGAAAATCAGCGTCGCAGCTTAAACACTGTATGCATACTTTTAATGTTATGTACTTTTCTATTCTATTCTTTAATAGATACGCAATACCGACTGCACTAAACCACCTACGATACTTCACATGTCACTCATCGAAACGCATATAGTTGAACGACGCAATTGAAAGCCGGCATAAACAGAAACAAACTCACGTGGCGTACCTGGGGGCCAACCACGAGCTCTTTTAGCAATTCTTAACGAACGGTGCACAGCTATTATTCCGTATAGCGCTGTCCCGCTAGCTGCACGTAATAAGAATCCATACCATCACCTCTGATAGCATTGGCATTACAACAATGTTATAAGAGTTGATGGTAACCTCCCTACTCCCTCTAACGTGTTTCTCTGTTTTCGCCTATTTTTAAAACATTGTTATAAGAGATGATGGTAACCTCCCTGCTCCTTCTAGAGTGTTTCTCTGTTTTCGCCTATTTAAAATTTATCAATCAATTAGAAACTAGTATTTAATTATATCAACATATTCGAATAAGAACTTCACAACCACAGAATTCATAAACTATGCAGTGGAAGATGCGCTCTTTAGGCGCACAGACCGCATTCGTAATGAAGAGGTAAGAAAGAGAGTTGACCTGGAAGATAGTGTCAGAGTAAAAATCAACATTGATACTCCGTTGGTTCGGACATGTGGAAAGAAGTCGAATGAAAGTATGACAAATCTGATACACAACGCGAAGGGTGAAGAAGCCAAAGAAGGCCATCGATCGGTTTCTGTAAGGAGGTTATGTCAGAAGACATGAAAACCAGCGCGCATGTATGAAAAAGAGTAATGAAAGTGGATGAAGCGAAAGATGTATGTTCTAACCGTGCCTAACGGCACTAGTTCCTCTTTGGCTTCCCCGCAATAGATACGGCGTGAAGATATAGACGGATAATAATAAAAATAAATTTGCGTAATCTTAATTTCCTTTTAGGTATACAATATTTGTGACACTTCGGTGATTAAATGGTTATCCTGATTACAACGCTCATTATCCCTTTAAACATTGTAACGATTTAGTTTGGGACTAAAATTAGTGCGAAAGTTACGGAATTTATAATCATAACTGTCTAACAGAGCTAACATTGTCTACGTCTAAACCGCACATTTAACCTGACTGCTGTTCTATTCGCAGTTTGCTATATGAGTATGTGAGCGAATTATCACTTTTTAAGGTACCGTAGTAAACAATGAACGCTTATAGTTTCGCCATGTACGTGTGTCCGTCTGTAAGTATTTACAGTGTTTTGCTATTTAATAAAAGTTAACTTCAAAACCGATTACAAAAGTCGACATTTTACGGTAACATGAAATATGCAGGCAGATAATTTATTTGACATTACTTGTTTGGTTGATGACTCTATACATTTCGCATGTATTTAACTTGTAGACAAAGAAATTACCCCTCTGAGCGTGCTTAATATATCACGTACCGAATCTGCGAAGCGCTAATTACCGCTGAGAAATTCAAGGGCGTATTTTCGCGGAGAAGCGCGCAATATGGCCCGTTTTCTTTGTCTAGCCAAATACGAAATTTCACATGATTCAATGTTTGGTTAGGTAAAAATATGGAGTTTGCCAAAACTTTTTTAAACAAGAATGACGTCGGCACACGTGGGTAGATAACTGGGGATACCGTCACTTCAACTGTTGCGTAACATATGGAAATAATAAATTATTTTCCATCAACATATTCAAGAATTCAGTGCTGGCGCGCTGACCTTGCCTATGGATGGTTTCGATAAAGGAGAATATGCTATAAAACACCACAAGCACGCACACCTAATGCCGGAATTAGCAGCTTAACATACATTTCGAAGCGAGAAGAAGCATGAGATATTTAACCTTTAGTCACCCATACCACGCCGCTTACGAATGCATCAACCATTATGCCATCTTGCACCTGAAGTCTCATGGATATATAAGTCATTAATTTTACACTGAAATAATATGTTAAATGTAGCTTTTGCCTTCGACTTCTTGAAATTAGTAATTCCAGTGGAATATTTTTTATCTGAGCGTGAAACTAATCCGATGTTTTTACATGAAAAGTTTACAATAAAACTCTAAACACATTATGTTTGTAATGTATTTATTTGTTCGTTTGTTTATAAATACTTTTCATCTCTGTTTGGATGAACTGAAAATAAAAGCCATCACCTTTCTCCATATTAAATTTCGTCAAGGAAAAGAATCTATTGAGTGATTCCGGCTTGAATTATTTATTTTTATTTATTTATGTGTGACATTTAGTTTAGATTTTATAAGAATGATGATATGACATTTTGCAGTTTAATTTGGATTGATATTTCTTAGCACTATAAATTCTGGTGAATTACGAGTAGATTACCATTGATACTAGTACTTGATGTACTATTGCCCATCATCATCATCAGCCCTTTTAACGTCCACACTGCAGGGGCTCAGACCTACCTTATAGATGGTTAAGGAGGATGGGCCATTACCCTCCACGCTTGCCCAATGCGGATTGGAAAGTTTTTACGACTGCTTATGCAGCTGAGACCAACGGCATAACGTGCCTTCCGAAGCACGGAGTAGCTCGAGATAGTATATTTATTATCGTTACCTATCCCGTAACCGACCGTTGTGAAAGTTGCTTAACAACAACGACCGCGGGCCACGGCGCTTATCCTCTGCGCCACCGGTGCTACTCTTAATTTATATTTAAACTATATTTAAACTTGATTGATTTATTGAAAGATTACATCGCCTAAGATATTGGTAAATAAGTTGTTAGCGCCCGATATATTTCTATAATCTCTACATAAATTAAAAATGTTGGGTTAGATAAAATTCATAGGTCATTCCAAACCACCCTTGGCCGAGATTTCCGGGAGAAACGATTAAGAAATCAAACTAATTATATCAGTAATAACATATTACGCAAACGTTTATGAAAAAAATTTAATTTTGTAAATATAATTATTTGAAATTTACTTGCGAAATTTCGATTTAGTTACGAAATCAAACGACTCAATGAAAAAACAGATTCGTATCAACACCTAGTAGCCACTAATTACTCTACCGTCACGCAACTGTCCGCTTTTAAATATAACAATATCCTAATTCTTTGTTTGTTGTAATACTGAGACTGAGCCTAAAGATCCAGTAATAAAACTTTAAATCGCTTGGCTGTCTTGAAACAAACAGCGAAGCTGTGAGATGCGACAGACACGGGTATCCTATTTATAAAATACTCAGCTCTTTCTCTTTGTAGATATACTTGGAACTACGCAATCAACTGACCACGAAGTGTGCTTTGAAAACAGTTGAAGTTATATAATCTTTTCTACTGAAAAGAAAGGAAACTAAAAGATAAACATTTTTTTTTCTCAGTCATTTTACGCTGCATTGCTCTTTGCAGTACGTATCCATGGAGAAACCAATTTGTTGATTCCCTTATTTATTGTACATTTGAAATTGAAATAATATTTGTTGAATAACATAGTTGTGAAATAACATTAAACCATTTTGTTCAAACTTGCGCTACGCATTATATAAATTGTTGGATACCGCTAGTGACGACCTACAATGGTCGTCGACTCGGCCAAAGCCTTAAAAGTCAGTATTGTGACAAATCATATTTTCGTTTTTACTCTCTATTTTTTAAATTGAAGAAAAAAGATGTCTACTAACATGTTATTACTTATGATGCCCCCTAATGTACCCAGACGATGATCGATTGCTAGATATTAAAATATGGAATTAAATGAGTTTTTATAAACAAATATATTTTTGTCACACTACTAAATCGTAGGAAATCAGCATTGATTAAAAACTTACCTTATATGTCAAAATCCATACGAAAAATATCGGACATCATTATTACTACTGTAATTGTTTCAAGAGCTGTTTTAACGAGTATTGGTAAAACTTTAATGTGACATTATCTTCTTCAACAGATACGTAAAGAAGCAACAGAAAAATGGAGCAGTTTGAATCGCTGTTGACGTGCTGCGTCTGTCTCGACCGCTTCAGAAACCCAAAGTTGCTGCCATGCCAGCACAGTTTCTGTATGGAACCATGTATGGACGGCTTGGTCGACTACGTGAGGCGACAGGTAAATAAAAATGCACCTCACACAAAATATTTATTTTAACCAAACAATAGAGTATAATGAAATATTTGAAGAAATATTACAGTTTGAATCAATTTCCAGGTCAAATGTCCAGAATGCCGAGCAGAACATAGAATCCCATACCAAGGTGTACAAGGATTCCCAACCAATGTCACTCTTCAGCGCTTCCTCGAATTGCATGCTCAAATAGCAGGGGAACTGCCAGATCCCACTGCAGGGCAGGTTATGGAAAGATGTAACGTTTGTTCAGAAAAATCTTACTGTGCACCATGTGCTCATTGCGACAAGAAAGTTTGCGAAGATTGCAAATCAGCACATATGGAAGTACTTCGTCGTGAAATTTCTAGAATTAATAATCAAATTCGTCGTGGCGTTAACAGGCTTCAAGATATATTGGGAATCGTTGAGCGCAATACGACAAATCTTCAAACAAACTGCGGTGCAGTTGCCGGAGAAATAGATGAAATACACAAAAGACTTTCGAAGGCGCTAAAAGATAGAACCGATTTCCTCAGGAATGAAGTTGATCGTTATTTAGCAACTGAACTTAGAAACCTCACTCACCTGAAAGATAATTTAGAATTAGAGTTAAGTAATATACAGAGTAATTGTGATCTCGCCGATAAGTATATGACCGATGATGTTGAATGGGAGGATACCGAGTTAGTTGATACCAAGGAGATTTTCTTAAAAACTGTCGAGTTTCTAAGAAACTTTGATTATGAGGCAGGTGACTATAATCGTAGAATGCGATTCATCATGACCCATGATCCTAATCAACTGGTACTACATGTAGCCAGCTATGGCGAGCTAAATATAAGCCATCCAAGTGCTTATGGAGGTAATATGCAACAGACTCCGGGCTTGACGAGATCAAAGAGTGATCATCGCTTAGCAACACAATTCCGCCAACAAGAAGAATCAAAAGGTTACACGGAGAATGAAGAGCCTATACTCGGTGGACGTAAATTTGGTGAAAGAAGACCACCTCCACCGGAAAAGCATACCAGAGATTATGGTGCTGACGATTATAGTGGTTATGAATCTGAACATAGGCCTTCGCGTAGATTCCGCTCACGTTTTGTAAGAAGTCACCAACAAGATAATGACTCAGATACAGAACCTACAAGTAGAACAGTAAAAGCGGAACAGGTTCAAAAAGAAAAAGAGAAGGTTCAAGACACTGAAGACGCTACTCGAGGACCTCTTAGTGGAATATTCAGACTCAGCGATTGTCCACGTGTCATGCAAAGGATATTGGACGTCGACAGTGGTAAAAAAAAGGAAAAAAAGGAACCTCCTCCGCCCCCCAAGCCAGTACAACCTGCGCCTCAGCCACGTCGTCCACCACCTCCAGCACAGAGACAACAAAGTGAAGATGATGAAATTACACGACTCAAACGACAAAACAAAGGTGCAGCGTCCTCTCAGGAACCAGATCGAACGCCATCGCGTCCTGCTGAAGAGGAACGTACCTCTGTAAATCGTAAACCACCGACACCAGCTCGGGAGGTGAGTTGGGAAGAAGAAACAGAATAAAATGAGAGGCTAAAGCAACGTAGAAATTAGGGAAATCATCGTTACTAACAACGAAAAATAGACAATTAACGGCATTCCATAAAATACACTCCACGTTTAACCCCTTATACACATACACAATATGACAAAATGTATTAGCAATTTTGGTGTCCATATCGAATTTAAATGTATTTCTCAGGCGTCCAGTGATGGTGAATCGGATGAATCTGTTGGATCTTTGCAACGAACACAGCGTAAGAACACAGCTCCGGCACCAAAGCCGGTTACTGCTGCGAGACGGCCCTCAGGCTCTGAAGTGCCTACGTCACACCGTCCAGCTGCTCGTGCACCCAGTACTGAATCAAGCGCATCAACAGAAAGCTCCGGCTCGGCGGTTAAGCACACAGGTGCGATATTAACAATTGAAGAACTAAAAGCCAAATATAGCAATGTTGGGACACCACCAAAACCTGGCGTTCGTTTCTTTTTCACAGGCAACGACAGAACAGCACCAGCTACAACCAATGGAACAGTCAGTGGCGCACAACGAGTACAAAGTCGCTTCGTGGGATCGCAACGGCCAGCTCCCGCCCCGGCACCCGCCGAGCCGGCTCACGAAGATTCCGACACAAGTTCTGAAGAGGAAACTGATTCGTCGGAGGAGAGCGAAGAGGAGCCTGCAACGCAAAGAAAGCCCGAGAGTCAGGCAATGACTCGAACTGATATAGGTCCACTGTTAGCCCGCAGTACAAATGCTCGTAATGACGCCAACGATAACAAAACTAAGGAGACACCATCACAATCTCGATATCGAACGAGGCAATCGTCACAGGCTGAGGAAGAGTCAACCCCACGTTATGGTTCCAGTAGCTCTTCGTACAACAATCGTTATGGTAAACCTAAAGAAGAACTAGAAACTCAATCTTCGTTAGATGACGATTCCAAATACCCCACAGCCAGGTCGAGGTATCTTGCTTTGAAAGAACGACGTAATCGTCTAGCTAGAAGTAAAAGTAGTCATACTGGTTTTGGGGTAGGAGACGATGATGATCAAGATGATCCTGTGTCTCCAACAACTGCTTCGCCTTCAGCATATCTTGCGGCTCGATACGGCTCCGGCACAGGAGGTACGGAGTTGTCTCGCAGCCGGTCTTCTCATGCATTGAAGTCAAGGGAAAGCTCGCCAGAACGAGCTGCACCTGGTGAAAAAGATGGTGCAGCTTTAAGTTCTTGGGCGAGGTACTTAAAAAATAAGTACGGATCACGGGGCAAAGACCGTGACACGAGCGGAAGTACTTCGAGTACATCGCGTCGTCTGTCTCTCGGGCTGCCCTTGCGTTCGGCCAACGAGCTTGCCAGTTCTGATGACGATTCAAAAAACGCGGCAGGCTCCCCCATCTCCCCTACGGCGGCTACAGCAGCGGTAGCAGGTTAGAGTAAAGAGTGGCGTGTAAATAGGTTTGGTGCTTGAAAAAAAATGAGGTGTGCTAAAACATTTTAACATGTACTAATTTTTATTTCTGATCATAGGTTTCGCAGCAGCAGGTTCCTCCCCTAGGAGCCAGTATCTGCAGAAACGCCGTTTACAATTCAGTGTGGGGAGCCGGGGGAGCGAACCCGGTTGCTTTACTTGGCCTCGTGGCATCGCTGTAGGCCCCGACAATACTATGGTCGTGGCTGATTCATCAAACCATCGAGTTCAAGTACGAAATAGCTTTAGAAATTATATTTAAAAAACAATTAACAACTACAAAGCTAGCTGCTTACAATCGTATTTCCTGTTTATTAACTTCAGAAAACATTATTATAGTATTAATAAATGTGACATTTATAAAATCCTATGTAAGTTTCAGATAATACAATTCGTAATCATATTTCAGGTTTTCGATTCTAATGGTATCTTCGTAAAAGAATTTGGGCAATACGGCAGCGGAGAAGGCGAATTTGACTGCCTGGCTGGTGTTGCAGTCAATCGAATTGGACAGTACATTATTGCCGACAGATACAATCATCGCATACAGGTAAAAAATAAAACAGCAAGTCACATATTTCAATTTTTTTTTATGTAAATTTATTGTTTCTAAAGTTTCTAGATCAATGTTTTAATATAAATCAAAGTTTAATTTAAAATCAGATGAAAAATATATTGATATTTACTCTTTCTTACCTGGTAGTACACCGGCGACATATTCTTCACAACCTACCCTCACCCCACGAATCCTGTAAATATTAAGAGTTGTTAAATTTATCACGCACAAAGAAAATATTAAGATGTCTATATGGAAAATTAAAGCCCTCATACCTAACCTAAGCAACACAGGAAAGTTTGTTCTCAGTGCACAATCTATTTTTATTTTATTAGTACTAATAGGTAGAGGTACAAATAGGTAGCTATATGTTAAGTAGCAACGTGCGTATAGACATATTTCTTTTTAGCTCAGATGATAGCAAGGTTAAAAAAGGAGAGAGACAAAAACATGATGTGCTATAAACTTAAACTAAATTTTGTGTACCGATCACAAATTTTTTCGTATGTAATTTAACACAGAAGGCCCTTCATGGTATAATGCTTTATTGAATACCAAAATAATTTCCGATTCTAAATTTACTTCATTAACTTCACTTCAATTCGAGAAATCGAACAAATTTCTTTGTCCCGACGACGTTGTAATTTGATTTGTAAATTACAACCGAGATTGTGTCAATAAATCTTGATTATCTCTTATTCATTAAAATTAATGTCTGAAGTAAATTACATTAATTTTAAAACAGAAAATTTTCCTTTTACTATTCCTTTTTCAATATGTGGCATTCTTTTAATAGATTCCAATGAGGTGGAGGCTATGAATTCAATATTTTGCGTGTCATACTCATTGTTAGTATATGGCCTGCGAAAAACGTTTGTTAAATTTTGTTTCATAAATTTTGATCACCCATCCTATGACCGGCCTTTGCGAAAGTTGCTTAGTATTCACATCTCGCAGACCGAACGTTTTGTGCCATCGAGTTCCTCAAACAATGATTCATGTATGATTAAAGTTGCAGAAATGCTATTTCTGTAACATATATGAAGGAAGTAATACTACGTTTTATTCAAAACAATTTTTCTATAATATCACAAATACACAGCGGAACAACAACAGTTCCACTGCAACATAAATCAACTCACCGTTTCTAACATTGGCATTAAAATGTCCGGCAAAATATTATTTACGACTTCTTAGTGAAAAAAGAAGTAGAATATGAAAAATACGTATCTTAATACTGGTAACAAATTTTGAAATTACGGTACAACCTTCCTTATTTTGAACGGGCATATTTCATCTTAGGATAGACGTTAAAAATATGTATAAAAAAGTACTGTGAATTAAATTTTTGTCGGAGTTAATTTATGTTACCAAATTTCACTAGAGCCACGGAAAATTATAGATGCTGTTCGACTTCAAAATAAAAAGGAGACGGTTCACAATTCATCTGTATTTATGCTCTGGCATATGGTTACTTCATGGTTTATAAAACGATTTTAAAGTTGTTTTGTATTTACGACGTAATCGACATAATATACAGAGTCATTAAAGTTAACGTGTAGATATGTCGTCGAAGAAATATATCAAAAGCCGCACAAAAAGTTGTAATGTAATATAGAAATTGAAATTGTGAATTAAGTAAAGGTATCCACTAAGCCCGCATGCACGCTAAGGACGCATGGTCAGTGCGGCCGGTACGGATAGTTGACTGAGTTCTAGTACAAAGTTATAGAAAATCATATGCGTACCGTGATTAGTGCGTTTGGGCACAGACGTTCACATTTCAGAGACATTATCGATATCACTTTTCAAACTAAGAACATTCATTAGAGTACATCCATTATATCATGCTCTCCCGTCATTAAATATGGGTGTAGACAACTATTTATATATATATTTTTAGATAGATGTACATGAAATATTTCAAAAAATATTTAAAAAAGGTATCATTGGTTTAAAAGTTTAAATTATGCATAAGGTTCAATTCTCTAAGTTCTGTGGCGTGACGTCACGCTCTGTTTGCGGTCACGTTCCAAATAGTATTTTATTTATTTATTTATTTATTTAGTACACCAACGATTGTTACATTAATTTGATTTAGTAAACTAACTTAATTTAAATTTGCTGAATGTACAATCATTTACTGGTGAACATCGCATGCAAAACCTGAAATAAACATTTACTTAGTTTTCGGATCACACAATCTCACTCCATGAAAAATAACTAGGAAACAGTTACAAATAAAAAAACAAGGAAAACAATATACTTAATACACTGAGACATTGAGAGTTGAACAATTATTTAGACACTAATCGCTTCAATTCAGCTTTAAACTGGAATAGAGACATCGCATTTACATCAAGGGAATCACTATATTTGTTAAATAATCTACCAATTCTCGATACTGGTGAAGAAATTTTCATAATTAATTTAAGCAATATTATAAAAAAATAATAACCATAAAAGTGTGATTGTCGGTAATATTATTATACAAAATATTACCACTACCAAAAGGTAACACTACCAAAAAATATATATTTATTTTCATTTAGGCACTGTCTACACCCATATTTTACGCTGCATTATACTATTATTATATTTTGAATAAAAATATTCTAAACTCTTTTTATTGGTACTTCGTTCCTATTGTTTCCTATTCCTATTGTTTTATTAAAATGTACCATTTTGTTCCTCAGGTCTTTGATCCTGCAGGACGGTTCCTCAGAGCCTTCGGCAGTCAGGGTACTGGAGACGGCAAATTTAATTACCCATGGGGCATTACCACGGACGCACTCGGATTCATATACGTGTGTGACAAGGAAAACCATAGAGTTCAGGTACATCAAACTTTTAAATATTCTATACAAGCTGAACCACATTCACTTCTTATAATTTTTTGAATGCCGATAGAGCTCCCATTAGAGCTGGCGAGTTTCTTGCTCGTGCTTCTTATCAGCCAAAAGACATCTTGAACGAGTGGTACGGAAATAAAAGTTCAACGATTCAAAAGTACTTTTAAGAAGTCTATTTGAATAAAGATAATTTTGACCTTAACTACTAGAAAAGAAAACGAAGTAGCCACAGAATTGTACATTTTGTATTTCAATTTTTCATATTTCTCAGTTCACATACTAGAAACAAATAGTTTTCAACCTTTATTTAATCATCATAACCTATATTATTTTACTGTCTAGGTATTCCAATCTGATGGTACTTTCGTTGGCAAATTTGGATCTTTTGGCTCCAAACTTGGACAGCTGGAACATCCCCACTACATTGCCGTTTCAAGTACAAACCGTGTCCTAGTCTCCGACTCCAACAATCACAGGATCCAGGTGTTCGATGTCAACGGAAGAGTGTTATCGTCGTTCGGAGAAGAAGGCTCTGAAGATGGACAATTCAAATTCCCAAGGTACGTAATGTCTATCTTCTTTACACCGTATCCCTGATGGCGTAAATAAAGAGAGCATATTTCCACAAGGCACGGTCTTTACATATATCTTTCACTTCCTTTTCTTTCATTGCCCTTTTCATAACTGCTCGTCGGTTTTTGTGGCTTGTGACATCACCTGGAGACAGCAAGCCATTGATCTATCTGATCGTTAAAGATGTGCCGTGACCTTCCTTGGCTTCTATATCCTTTCATTTTCGCGTTCTATATCAGTTTTGTCATTAATTCTTTCTGCTTTTTTGCCAAATATTCGAAACTAATATTTTACATTGAGAAAAATATTGTATGATTCTTATAAGGAATGTCACTGTAATTATTTTGTCCAATTATTCGGTTCTTAGTTATAATACCTTAACTTAATGTTGGTTATCGAAATGAAGGAACATTTGCAAAGGCAGGATTTTGTACATGATCGAGAGCTTACTACAGCAAGTTCCTCCTTATTTAGGTCTACATTTGCACTAATCCCTACCAGACCCGTGTTATCTATGTGTTTCTATTCACATAGAAGGCCTATAGAATTACTGATTCTTAAGACCTTAATGGATGTGTGTATAATTGCTCTCATATCTATACTAATAGTCTTGAATATGATTATTTTTTTGTTTTAAAGCATTAATCATTAGAACAAGGAGTAAGATCCCAAATATCCTCTTTGCTTTTTCGTAATTTAACTCTTGAAAATTAGAGTTATTTAAATTATGCTAAGAAACTTGCGAGCAGGGCACCGACAGTAAAACCTCATAAACGGGCTTTTTGAATAGTTAAAAAAAAAATGATCTAAATATGAAATCTAATATAAATACTGGTTTTCTGACTCCTTTTCCCCAATTTATAGGATCCCAAATTATGAGTTTTGTAAATTTAGTATCCATTATCAACAATGTTTATACTCGTAGATTCAGGAATCTTGAAAAAAATTTGGTTAGTTGATTTCTGTTTTCGAGCACTTTCTATAATAATTACGTTATATTAATTTACTTAGTAGCTCGGTGGCGTAGAGGATAAGCGCCGCGGCCCGCGATCGTTGTTGTTAAGCAACTTTCGCAAGGGTCGGTCACGGGATGGGTGACCAAAAAATTATTATCTCGAGCTACTTCGTGCTTCGGAAGGCACGTTAAGGCGTTGGACCCGGCTGCATTTGCAGTCGTTAATACCCTCCAATCCGCATTGGGCCAGCGTGGAGGGTCATGGCCCATCCTCCATAACCATCCATAAGGAAGGCCTGAGCCCCTGCAGTGGGGACGTAAAAGGGCTGGTGATGATTAATTAAATTTGTCTCAATGAAATCAAGTTTCATGACTATTACTCTTAAATATTTCTTTGACTTGAGAAATAGAGCAGTTTAAAAATTTGGATCTGATAAATGGAATAAGTGCTTCGGAAGGCATGTTCGGCTGTTAGTATCGGATGCATATGCAGTCGTTAACACTCAGCAATCCATACTTGTCCTATTCGGTTTATTTCCATCTGTAGTCAAGCCTTGTACCCCAGCTGTGGGGACTTTAATATGCTGATGGGAGGGATAATAAAAAAACTATAAAAAGTGCATGGATGAAAAAATATGGCTTTATTAGTAGACTTAACTTTTTTATTATCAATGCAGAAAAGTAAAAGAATCGTGATAGTATTCTGAAATAAAAAAATATTTGTATGAAACATTTTGAATCAAGATATTTGACTAGAAATAATATCAATTTATTAAAATAGTAACATTTAAATATATCTACAAGCAGTAAATTAAGATCGTTGTTTACTTTTATTGGTATTTGTAACAATAAATACAGATATATTTCCATCGTTCCAGTTTTTACAACACCTTGACCGGATTCTTCAAACCAAAGAGGCTAAAACAGAACGTAACGTTAGGGTTGTCTATTATAACCAGAGGTCGGAATTAGGTGAATTTAGGTAGAGTTATTTATGTACTTGCATCGAAATGTTGATAATAATGTGGACCTTCCCGGGATTTCTTTATTTCTTTCTTTCATTGATGTAAGCTTGGCAACGTCGTGCGTGCAGTAGTTTAAATTGTATAACTTTTTATTTAAAAAATCACGGGATTTTTTCTGCTCTTTAAAATTAATCTCGGGATTTGAGGCATATCCACTTTATTCTTTCGCTGTATGAAATCAGTGTAAGTACATGAATAACTCTACCTAATTACGAACACTGATTATAATATAATTAAATTATTATACAAATCAAATAAAAATAATTTATTCGGTGTAGGCTTGTGAAAGACGACACTCTATGCCATCGGTTCATAAAAAATGACTCACTATTACAATATTTAAAAAGTATATAGTCAAAGTCAAAGTCAAAATAATCTTTATTCAAATAGACCTCTCAAAAGTACTTTTGAATCGTTCAACATTTTTTTCTCTACCACTTGATAAGAAGAACGAGCTAGAAACTCACCAGCTCTGATAGGAGTAATGACATATACTAAATGAAAATAATTAATTTAATAAACATAAGTATAATAAAATAAAATGGACAATAATAATTATATTGGTGCTTATTAATTAACAACATTGAGTCGTTTCAAAAGAAAGTTACTTTGATCCTCTGTATTATGCTTACTGAATCTGAATTCGAAATATTAACCGAGCTTTCCATTCCATAGGTAGATTGTAACAGTCAATGTTATTGAATTTATAAATTAAATACTTATTTCATTTCTCTACCTACTTCGCAAGCAATCTGATAGGAAAATATAGATTAAGTAATATTCGTTATTAAATTATTATTTAAATTTTTAAATTGATAGTTGACAACCCTAAGCTTGTCCTATTTACGTGATCTGTATATCTATTGGCTGTAACATTCACAAGATGAACACATAGTATATGCGTTACATTTCAATAAAATAAAACAACAGCAGTAATAAAAATCCTAGGTTCGATTATTGGTCGGGTCAATGTAGAAAATTATCTTTTCTTTATTAACTGGGATCTGGGTGTTAGGGTATATTCATTGTTTCAGGTTTTTCTAATACAAGTACTTAAGTTTCTTTATTTGGGATCTAAGCAATATATTATTTTATTTATTACACTTTGTAATAAATATACCCAACCTAACAAAAAATCATCATAATCAGCTTATTAATGTCCCCGCTACTGAGGCTTAGGCCTTCCTTATGGAATGAAACCGAATAAGTAGGAAGAACGGGCCATGACCCGGCAGACTCCTTGCTGGATCCTTGGGGTTCTTCTCCTCCAAAAGGATCCTTGGGGTTCTTCTCCTCCAAAAGGGTACTCGCGGTGGGTTCCACCATGTAGGCCAGCTTAGCTTCAAACCTGTCCTTCTTATGATAAGGGCATTGCTGAAGATCCCTGGTTTGACGCCGAAGGTGCATTTATCTTGCGTTATCAAAAGAAGGAAGAACGGGCCATGACTCACCACGCGGGCCCAATGAAAATTGATGGATATTAACATGCCTTCCGAAGCACGGAGGAGTTCGATAACAAAATTTTGGTCACCAATCCAATAACCGACCCATGCGAACGTTGCTTAACAACTGTAGCGCAAATCCAATGCGCTAACCGCTGCGGTATCAAACTCCAACTCAAATAAATTATTTGGGTCTTGTAGTTAAAGTGAAACATTGACATATGTATTAACATGTAACCGTTTGCGGTTTGACCATTTCCTTAGATAACAGATTAATTCAAATGACTTATCCGGTGATATCAATCAAAGTTTAACAATGGGTCTGTATGGATATTCGATAGTCATACTGTTAGCTCAATCAGAGAAAGTAGTAAACAATACCTATTAATTGCTATAAATTCGATGGCGCCATGTATATTATCTCCAGGTTTTAATTGAAAAGATATTCAATGACTGAAAGAAATTTACTATCTATAACTTTCACATGTATTTGGCTGCGTTTGCAAGAGATTTCGTGGTAGATTATATTTTCATTCTTCCTATCCATTCACTTTTCGTCAACCATCTTGTAACCAAACCTTGCGTATAGCAGACGAATCGTTAACCAATGACATCGAGCTCTTGAATAATTCAGTCAATTATGGTGACAAAGCTAAATCAATTTTTTTATCCACAGGGGTGTAGCAGTTGACGATCAAGGTTACATCGTGGTAGCTGACTCAGGCAACAACCGTATTCAGATCTTCCACCCTGATGGAACCTTCCTCAGAGCTTTCGGATCCTGGGGTTCAGGGGATGGAGAGTTTAAGGGCCTCGAGGGAATCGCTGTTATGTCCGGTGGAAATATTATTGTTTGCGACAGAGAGAACCACAGAGTTCAAGTATTTTGAGGTTAGTTAACTTTCGAAGTTTTTATTAGTTTTATTTAATTTAAGAAGTGGATGTATGTACAAATAGCAGGCCCACACCCGGGAGTTTGACCAGGAGACCGGCTGAATAAAACACGTTAATTTTAGACAGAGAGAGAGAGCGAGAGAGAGATTAATAGAAAGAAAGAAAATAGAGAAAGAGATATGAATTTGATTGACATTTTGGTGATTTTCTTACTAAAGGTATTATATATTCTGTGGTATTGATTGCCGATTTAGATGTCTTGCATAGTCAAATTTGAACGTTAATTCTCACTGACTTCTTAAATCTATCGAAGATTTTTTTGGGTAACCTAACGTGTGGTTGATTGTACTTAATTAATCATAATGCATTTAACCAAATGATATCAAGCGTGACTTTCCCGTATAACTCTTTTGTTAATCTGACTTCAATTTAAATAGAATGAGATCAAAATTTGTTTTCGTTTTTGTCATCATTATGTGTTCTTGTTTCAGATGGACAAAACCTATTGCGATGTACGATGAATCATCTTTAAATGCTTACATTATTACAATTAAATTGTAAATGTTTTTTTTTCTATATATATGTAAATAATATTGTTATACACTCAAGTTATTTACAATGCATTACATTTTTTGTATGTTACTCGACGAGCTTCATTTTTTGAATAAAATCATTGTTTTGCCAAAAAAACACAAAGACACTTTATTCACTCCACATTATATAAAATACCGCTTCGATATTGCTTTAGTCGTTTCGTTGTGCAGGATGCTATAGCGCGTCGACCCGTCACATAAATTGTCTCCTAACATAAAGTAATTCGGCTACAGCACGCCGAACAAAAAGAAATTCGTGCCTTATACGATAAAACTGGCAAGATGCATCTGTGTGAATGCAATGTGGGGACTTGAAAAGGACGACTATTACTTCATCATCATCACCATAGCAGCTTTTCCACGCCCACTGCTGGGCATAGGCTTACCCTATTAGTCTCAACGACGATCGCTCCTGCACTGTCCGCATCCAGCGGCCTCCCGCGACCTTTATTTGATCGTCGTTCCACCTGGTTGAGGGCCTACCCACTGAGCGTCGTCCGGTACGTGGGCGCCATTCAAGAACTTTTCCACCCCAACGGCCATCATTTGTTCTCGCTTTGTATCCCACCCATTGCCACTTCAGCTGAGCAATCCTTCGAGCAATGTCAGTTACGTTAGTTCTCCTACGGATATCCTCGTTTCTTATTCGATCAAGTTTCTTGGAAAGAATCATTTACTCCTCAATTACTATATTACCTTAAACTAATTAGGGAAAAGTGATTCATACACTACACGAGCGGAATAGCAATATTTTTGCACACAAGTGAAAGAGTTATGTAAAAGAGCTGACCGACTGCCTTGGTATAATCGCAAATGGAACCGAGTTCAAAGCACACCAATTCCATACAAACATGACTCTTAACATTACGCGGAGTAGATTTTATGAATATACAGTTCTATGGGTAGCGATACGTATAGTGTTCTAGTAGTCTGAAACAATAAAGTTACTAAAACAATCAAACCGAAAACAATACATGTATAAAATCATTTTCTACAGTTACCCAACCAGGAATTAATCCTGGGATCCCAGATATGGAAATTCTTTTAAAGTGACGTGTGACACGAAGATTCCTAATATCCACACACTTTCAATATTACAACAACATAAATTAAGGTTCCCTATCCACTTTTTTTTTAAATTCAGATATTATACAAAACGACGTACTTTTTATAATTTGCGTATATTTGTTCAAGTATAATTTCTCTTATCAATGTAATAATGTTTAAGCATAACATTATAACTTATAGATGGCGCCCGTCGGCCAAAACCATGGCACGATCCCTTTTTATGTAAAGTGACATTTTAACAATTGTTGGTAAACCAATAAATATATATATATTATTTTGCTCACAGTTATAAATTACAAACTAAGTGAATAAACATTATGCAAAATAGACAAAAATCTAAACAATAATTATGTCAAAAGTCAAAGTCAATATCAAAAAATCTTTATTGGTGACCAAAAATTATTATCTCGAGCTACTCCGTGCTTCGGAAGGCACGTTAAGCCGTTGGTCCCGGCTGCATTTGCAGTCGTTAATACCCTCCAATCCGCATTGGGCCAGCGTGGAGGGTCATGGCCCATCCTCCTTAACCATCCATAAGGAAGGCCTGAGCCCCTGCAGTTCCCCACTGCAGGGGCTCAGGATAAGCGCCGCGGCCCGCGATCGTAATCGTTAAGCAAGTTTCGCAAGGGTCGGTCACGGGATGGGTGACCAAAAATTATTATCTCGAGCTACTCCGTGCTTCGGAAGGCACGTTAAACCGTTGGTCCCGGCTGCATTTGCAGTCGTTAATACCCTCCAATCCGCATTGGGCCAGCGTGGAGGGTCATGGCCCATCCTCCTTAACCATCCATAAGGAAGGCCTGAGCCCCTGCAGTGGGGATGTAAAAGGGCTGGTGATAAATTTTCTAACCATATTTCTGTAAGAGATATGTATCAATATAGTGCGTGATAGATTCCCGATGAGATGGACAGACTATAAACAGGCGGCAACAAACTGAACAGACACATGAATGTACTAAAAAGGCTACGATCTGACAAAAATGACACCGTATATCAAAACTTGCCACTTAAATTATTCTTGTTTGACAACCACGACCAAGATCTCAAGATTGGGACGATTTAAAAGAAGCTATAAATCAATATGGTTGAAAGATGGTTTCGACATCAATCATGGAAACCTGAAAATGGTCCAGAAGCTCAATATATAACTAAGAGTGATGGCTTAAAAGTCGATAGCGCCCTAAATGAGCAGCACCTCATCACCACCCCTTCATCTTGTGTTTACATTACAAGAAACGTATCGTATTTTATGTGTTTTTTATTACAGAATTATATTGAATAACCAGCGACTTCGTCCGCGTTTTCCATTTTTTCTTCGCTCCCAATAGTCGCAGCGTGATGTTATATAGCTGAAAGCCTTCCTCAATAAATGGTCTATTCAACACAAAAATATTTTTTTAATTCATACCAGTAGTTCCTGAGATTAGCGCGATCAAACAAACAAACTCTTCAGCTATAAAATAATATTTGTACAGATGAAATACTGGCCAGAACAATCCTTCTAGCATGATTCAGTATTCTCGCGCGATGGCTTATTATTAGCGTATTTCATGTATAACTTCGGTGTTTCTATGCAGATTTCTATGATTCTTTTTTATGGAATACTTAATACTGTTCACTTTTTTAATTAGGGATGACTGCGAGTGTTATAAACGTAAGAGTAGACAATAGACAAATACAATCAGAAAGCTTCGAACTGCTAAGCTATCGGGACTTACACGTGTTATTGTGAGTCAACCATAAAAGATAGACATACGCTGTCGTGGGATATTTTTTATATAATTTTAAGGAGAATATTTCCGTCATACATGATTTCTGGGTAGCTTTAACCATTAAGGTTGCACACGCGACGGAAGCTTAAAAAATGGAGTAACTTCTCTCGTTTTCCCAACATTTCCCTTCACTGCTCTGCTCCTATTGATTGTAGCGTGATGAAAAGTATACTATAATCAGCTCAAGAGTATGAAAAATAAATGTACCAAGTTTCGTTAAAATCCATCGAGTAGTTTTGTATAACGGTTATACAGACAGACAGACAGACAAAAATTTTACTGATTGAATTTTTGGCATCAGTATCGATCCCCAATCACCCCCTGATAGTTATTTTGGAAATATATTTCATATACAGAATTGACCTCTCTACAGATTTATTATAAGTATAGATAAATACAGTTTCTGGAAATGAAAAAACAGAAAGACTAACTGCCAGTTGCACAAACGTTCATTAAAATTGTCATTAGTTTAAATCGACATTACCCATACAAATTTGACATTCATTAGTGCTTAAAGGCGTCATTAAACCTTAATGGACGTTTGTGCAACTCACGGTAAAACATTTTAATACTATCGTCCTTGAAAGCGAGGTACTATTGCTCAGTATTGTTTTCTATGAGATCAATGGGTTCTAAACGAGGGAGAATTAAAATAAAAGAACGACGAAACCGTCTAAATGTGGAATACGATTTTAATCGTGCTTGAAGCGAAACTAAATAACATCAGAAACTGGTAAATGCAAAAAGATAATAACCATCACTTATTTTAAAGATATATGAATTTACTTGTAAGTAATATATTACAAGACTTTTTACCTATCCCTTCCAAATGCGAAAACTCGTCGTTCCGCTGCTGAGGGCAAAAAAAATTTTTTTCAACTCAATTTTACATTTAAATTGTCAAGCATGAACGGATAGGTGATTTATATTTTTTTACGGAAAAAAAAAACAGAAACTAGCGTTGTGAGAGATGCAAAAATGTATATACTAGATCCTTTCTGTCACGCGTGATATCACACAAGTGGCAACGCAGTTGTCTTGTTTCATCCTTAAGGGTTAAGGTCGGGGTAAAATCAGATTTCTGAATAGGTCATAGTGGTAATAATAAATAAAAATATTGAGAATTCACAGCACTATATGATTCCTTTGGAATAACTTCGAAATCCATGCTCAACTTGGAGCTAAAAGTTCTACAAAATACTTTCGAACGCACAGCACATTCAAATATCAACTTCATCATTAAAAGTTACTTTGAAAAGATACGTCCAATTCACTACAATAGGTCTCCATGTCACCTCTCTATCAGTCGAAGTTGAAGTTTGACGTCCCAGATAACGATGCCAATGGTCCTCAAACATGTGACGTCAATACTGTCCCACTGTCAAACATATCGGAAAGCAGGATGCAAGTTTTATCCGCACAACGGTTTCGTCCCTCGAACAGTTTCTGACGGCGAAATGGAACGATAGCAAATATGAAGAAATTAGGGCTGCCAGTGAAGCGAAGTTGGTCAATATCACCATATTGTAAATTATAAAAAAAACATTTTTTTATAATAATGTA